AAAGGCGTTGACCCTCCCTAATAAAGGACATACTTTCCGACCCTATAGTACACATCAAGAATCTCCTTAAAAGGTATTTAATCGCAAAGCCTCCTTGCGAATCCCTTCCTCCCAATCAAAATCTTACTTTCTGGTCCCAGCAACCAGCAACATTTGGTTGCCCGTTGCCCGCAATTTCAAAATCATCAAAATCGGCATTCAACACTCAATCCACCTAAGTTTTGTCCCTTCTTTAGCGTTTAATATACTTCGAATGGATATTGGTTTCTCTGCAGATGCAGCTGATGAATTTTTCTTGTCTCCTTCTCGAATCCTAGTACTGGTACGTGTTGTTTTGTACTTTTGGGTTTGAGGGACTTTGGACGTGCTGTCTTCTACCAGCATATATTTCGGTGTCTCGCTCTGGTTGTTCTCAGCTCATCTAACATTGTCTTGTTTTGTAGAAGACTGCTGATGCTCTGACTGGTGAAGTTGCTGCTGATCTAGCCTATCATGCTGATGCTGCTTCCAGGAGAGCATCTTGTCCTGGAGCTACTCTCACTGGCGCCGTAGAAGTGGTAAGACTTGTTGCCCTCATCGCCTTTAAATGTTGGAGAAATAGCACCAATTCAACTCATTTGATTACTTATTCGGTATTTCTCTACTTGATTGTGCTATTGGCTCTGCACCAGGAGGATCACTACTCCTTGGTGTTGCTCCAGGTCCAATTGTGTTGGATCTGAGTACCATTCCAGGTTGGTTGGGGTTCAAATCCAAAGGAAATGAGACACAAATTCCATATTCTGGTTCATTGAACAAACCGTCCGAATCCTGCGACACAGTTTACACTCTCCAATGTCGTATATCAAAGTCATAGTATTTCCATTCATTGTCAATCATGATTAGAGGCAAGACTCACTTGGGCAAGTCTATTTTCAAAACCGTGCTTACTTGTAGTATATATAGATATCAATGGATGGAGTGGCGGGGTATGCAGAGTATATATACAGTACTGGATAAGGCATTGGCGATCGCGACCGCGTCAGTTTGGTGGACGACATCATCAGTCACATCGATTAGATCAGCTACCTCACCACAAAACATCATAGTGATCACGTCAGCAAGCGATAATAACAACGGAAAAGTAACACCAACGAGAACATCAAGACACTATCTCATAAAACTTCGGTTCGAAAGAGGTACCGACTAGGGACAAGTTTGAGAATATGTGAACCCAGTATATCCACATTGCGGAAAATTGATATAACACGTGGATACGTGGACAAATCAGGACTGTATTGTTGAGAATTACATTTTTCAGCCACACTTTGCGAAAACTCGCCATTTCTTGTTACCCACTATTTCTTTGTGCAAGGCAATCGTCCAAAACAACGAGCTTGGTTCGAAATCAAGTGACAGAGGCCCTCACGCCAGATCTTGGTAATCCTGGGTTGGTGAGCTCTCTGTTCCTTTGAATTCCTTCGGCAAACCTTTGAATCATGTGCACAAACGTCGTTTGCATTGAGTTGATCTATGTCGATGGTCAACGGTTGGTCAAACCACACTCTTGATAAAACGCGCTCAAGATTTCGACTACCTCTGTAAAGAGTGACCGAGAGTTCAAATACCCAGACTGTAGCCCACCGAAATCATATTCACGAGCTCGAGCCATTTGCTCTTGAAGAATACGAATGGGGTGAGTGAGGAGTAATGCTAGTCCAACACTTATCAAGGCTCCCAACACTCCCACGACAGCCGCTGCTATTCCTGCATTTCGATCGTTGATATCTACAACACCCCATATATCAGCCCGAGGGATGACGGTAATGACCAGCCAGTTCAAATTTGTTCGATTCAGCCATTGAACATCAACGAGGAGACTTTCAGAAGTGTTGGAGGTGGTGAACGACAATGATAGTCCTGCGGGTGGTATATACCACAGAGAGCCATACTGGGAAAGCAGAGTGATAGTTGTTGCTTGAATGTATAGATTTGGCGAATTCAATGCATTGTAGTTTGTTGGTCCATAATCTATCTGGGAAACATTCAATACCGAGGAGCTGACCATATTGCCTGAAGGATGGACAATGTACACGAGTCCGTTTGTCGTCACAGGAAATGTAGCAAGGATGCCCTCCAGGATTCCAATTGAAAAGGTCACAAAAGCATTGCTAACAAAGGTAACGTCAACCGCCAACTTGACAAGAAATTATTGGTTGCATACCTTGTGAATCGCTGACCGGGTGCGTCAGTGTCTAGTGGCATGTTCAGATACGATATCCTTTTAAAAGCAGCTAAAAAGGGCCCACCAAAGAGTCAGATTGAAAAAGTAGCGTCACAACTGTACGTACAAAACTGTGCAAAGTACGAAGAATTGGAAATCGGCTGATTCATTCGGTTATCGCCAGACCACATTGGTTGTGAGATTAAGGCAGGCATCGGAGATCCTCCGAAAAGGATGGAGTCAGTTGAATTATAGTAGAAATCCAATGAGCCAAGATAAGTCGACGAGTCCAGAATAGCATTGTAAAAATTGTCTTGGTTGATGGAATACATCACACTCTTTTGCGAAGTCCCGCTTCCTGTGGTGGCATCTTGTAAAATGTCTGAGGACAAGGAAAAGGTTTGGAAAAGTGGTTTGGTGACGAAGAATGAAAAACGTATTACATTTTGGAGGCTTCACAAAGGCCATGCAGAGATTTTCTCCAGTCGCAACACCAATGGCCGCACAGGATGAAACAGCAGAGCAAAGCGATGCTGTCATTGGTAACAAGGACTTGGCCAAGGAGTTGGCCGTAATATTCATGGAAGAAATTCCCCCATTAGTAGCGATAGCTGGTTCGGAGCTGGCGAAGGTTCTCATGATAGAATTTTCGGTGATGGCGTATAAAGTGTGCTCAATGTTGACTAGTTCAGAGGTTACTAAATATACAATATTGTGAGCAGGCGATTAGGTTTGGAGGAATACAACATGGCGGAAAGTGCCACACCATTTCCGACCACACGATTGATCAAGGAGGTTCTTAAGCTTAATGCGAAGGTGTTTAGGGAGAGTGCCGTGGCATTTGTGATGACGAGACTGACGACGAGAGTTAAAGCAGCAGAGACTATCATGGTTTCTGCCATCAGTAGGACCCAAATTGGAATCGTAAATCGCGGCTTGGCGAGAATTTTGGCGCTAAATCGGACAAGGGATTCAAATTCTGGAAAGGTAAAAGATGCCTTCAATGCTTACTCTGCCACCATGACCAGAGAAGGCTAAGCGTTTAAGAAAAGGTTGAGCCTTGTCGGGGACAATTCGCGTTCAGAATAGATTGAGTCTTGTCGGATAGTGATTGACCAGCCTTGTCACGTGAAATAGGTTGGGTATTCTATTAGAATGTAATATAACGTTGGCCCCATATAAAATTCATTTGCGTAGCAATAATCAACTTTGATTTGCCGTTCGAATTAGGTTGGAGATGCAGTAGAATTTTACCGTTGCTTCAGCCAAAGGTTCGCAATGGATCCAGTAGCCTTTAAGATGAAAGGTGTTTATCACGTGTAATGTAAAGATCCGAATGAGATTGTGTTTATCGAGTATAGACACATGTAGATAGGAATGAGATTGTGAAGAAGAATAAGGTTTCTGCCGAAAGGCATAGAATAGTTTGTCTCACTCTTCCTATGACTCAATCAGTCGAGGCCAACGGATCCAGAAGTGAGGGTTTTCAGGTTGTTCCCTCATTTTCATAGAGTAGACTTCAAGCGGCCGGCGAATCGGTAAATCACCGACATTCGAGAGAGAGGACGTCTCTATAGTTGCTATCAAAAAACACCATCAGTTTGCCGTTGACAACAATTTGTGCAAACACGAAGTTTCAGTACTTATTTGGTTAATCCTGTCTGCGCAGTGGTATCAGCTAACTCCTTACATCACATCCCATGGTCTTGCCCCTCTGTCTGTAGTCTATTCTCCTCTAGTTAATTCTGCTCTGTGTTTTTGTAATCGATAATTTTTTTGGCCAGAATCTAGACAACGTTGCAGCGCTTGTGGCCCCAATGACCAACTTTGGCCAGTCAAAGTATGTTTTTGTTGTAACAGTTTTATTATAACCGCTGGATAACTCCATCAGGAGAAACCGTGGGACAGTATGTGGAGAAGAATCGCGACGAGAGGAATCGGAGGGCGCGTAAACAATATCAACAACGCAAAGAACAGAGCTGGACTGTAGTGTCCGCGCCGGCCGTGAGAGCTACAGGTGTCTAGCGACAAGGGCGGATGCAAAGTAGGAGTGTGAAACTGAAGGAAGTAGAATGAAGTGCCGTTATACAAAGCCGTTTGTTCCAGCTGTGATGGGACTTTGTTTCAAGCATCGTATTCCTATTGTAGGAATAGTATTCGCATCTCCGGCTAGTAAGAGTCTCGGAATCAACAGCCCCAAGACGACCAGGATTGTTGGGTGCTCTGTCAACTACCAGCAAGAACAATCATGATAGCATTAGTAGTACGCTCTCTCGTAGTAACCAGTAGAAGCAAAGTCGTGGATGCGGTTGTGCTGGAAAAGGTCTCAAGAAGGCTTATTTGAACAGGAGGCACTGGGCTTATAAGCGTCTCATATCTCGATTAGCAGTATGCTAGGAACAAGATATGATTGATTTGCTGGCATCTCAACTTGTACAACAAATAAATCTTGTTGGCATTGTCCATTTTGGCCTCATTATTTATAAATAATCAAAGGCCCGTACTCCGAAAAGGACATTCTTATATAATGTAGAGCAACACAGCAATTAATAGAAACAACATCACAAACTCTCTTCACAAACCAAACACTTCTCTTCATCGTTATCCATTTCTTTTGCTCCTCGAGCTCTTCGCTACCACACAATAAGATCTACGTCAATTTTGTTCCATTGTTTCTTTGATATAAATATAGAGGGGGAGGCCTTTTGCTTATCTTACAAGGTTTTTTGCAAAAGCAACATATGAGGCAAAGGATGTTCGTTCGTTTTGTAGATATGTGCAATGTGTAAGCTTTTCTTTACCAAGAACTTGGAGGAGCAGCAGCTCCTGTGCTTTGACCCCAACCTCCTCCTGAAGAAGCAGCCGGAGTAGCAGTGTTGCCACCACCACCCCATGAATCTCCTCCTCCAGTTGATGCTTCACCATTGGCTTCGCTTCCAGCATTTCCCCATCTGCCACCACCACCTGCATTTGAGCCCCATCCACCGCCAGCATCAGCACCACCGTTTCCACTGGCTCCGACTTCTTCAGATTGTTTCAAGTCCTCCAGAGCGAGATCTTCTTGAAGTCTGAAGAGTTGTAAAGGATAAGGGCGTTGGGCTTAATTCTTTCAAGTTCTTCAAAAACGATGGCAAAAAGAAAACAAATTGTCTGAGTTATCATGCACTTACTTAGAATCATCGCCTTCTTCAATTTGTGGAAGAAACTCTGGATGTGCTTGCCCACACGACTTCAAGAGCTTGGCAAGATCGTGTGCGATTTCAACGTCACCATCATTGTAAAACGAGATGGCAGTTCCACGATTTCCAACTCGAGCTAAAAAAAGGAGACGATGATTTTGTTGGTATAGGAGACTGAGACCATGCAAAAACATGGACGCATAGACTCAAACACACAACCCTTACCAGTTCGACCAATACGATGAATGTACTCGTCAATAGTCTTTGGCATATCAAAGTTGATAACTCGAGTGACATTGGGAATATCCAAACCACGAGCTGCAATATCTGTAGCAATCATGATGGGTCTAAGAGTTCAGACCAGGAATAACACGTTAGGCTCGACTCCAAACCTCATTGTTTGTCAAATCAAAGTACTTACGTCTTGTTTTGGCGAAACGCTTTCATTGCATTCTCCCGCTCTTCCATAGTTCGACCAGAATGAATAGATGTGACGGGTATATCTTGCTTATAGAGCCAATCGTCGAGAGAATCAGCACCCATCTTTGTCTAAAACAACGCATGGTATGAGCTTTCCAACGTTCACTTTGCTAGCAAACGTCCCTTAGGAAGACATTGCTTTTCGCCCAACACTTACAGCAACAAAGATCAGGGCAAGTCCATCCATTTCTTCAGTGAACAAGTTCAAGAGCTCATTACGCTTATCGACATCTTCGACAAGCATGACCTAAAGGTATCGATATCGGTGAGGAAAGATGCAAAAACTCTTTCAAGGCTCGGACAGCATACGACTTGATCAATGTCAGTAGGAACTCGACCAACTGCACCAACAGTGACTGCAAGTGGATCAATAAGGAATTGAGCAGTCAAGGATCGAATTTCTTTTGGCCAAGTTGCTGAAAACATTGCAGTGGTCAGATCGTCTCTTGGCATTCCAGACCTGAGCACGATCTCTTCCAAGTCTTCTTGGAAACCGAGTTCGAGCATGCTAGAGAACAGAAGGGTGGGGGGGGGGGGGGGGGGGTTATGAGTGCTTCTGAATAATGAACGATGATGTGGAGCGGAAATCAGGTTCGATTCGAGATAGTCGACTCGTCCACGATTTTTCTTCTTGTTCAAACCACACACGTACCGATCAGCTTCGTCAATAACAAGAAACTTGACCTTGGTAAGCCTAACTACATCCTTTGATAAAAAGTCCTTGAGCTTGCCAGTTGTTGCAACCAACAAGTCACAGCCTGAAGCGAGCTCTTCTTTAAGAGTCTTGCTGTTGGCACCACCATAGATAGCTCGAGGCCTGACCCAAGTTTTGTAGGCAAACTTGCGAGCCTCGTTGAAGATTTGGATGGCCAATTCACGAGTTGGGACGACAACCAGTGCAACCGGAGCTACAGGGAAATTTATACAGCAGATGTTAAGCATCCATAACATAAGTCACTAGGGACAAAAAAACAAGACGGTTGCGTTTGAAAGCGTACCTGCAGTTGAGTATCGCATTCCAGGAGTAATAATGCATCCAGCTCCCATCTTCTTTTGTCCTTTCAACAACATCTTGTTGATGATGGGAATGAGGAATCCAGCAGTCTTTCCAGATCCTAACGAATGATTCATGCAGGTGGTCAGAATCCAAGTCTTTTGATTCGGAGTCACAATGGCCCTACCGGTTTGTGCGCATGCTACGAGGTCTCTTCTCTCATTGATAATAGGCAAGGCATACTTTTGGATTGGAGTGGGTTTGTCGTACTTGCACCTTTGTATGTTTTCAAGCATGAGCTTGTCCATTTTCATTTGGGAGAACTGGAGAGAAGAGGTTTTGGAATTAGTACGCTGCAATTTCAACAATACCTTCGGTGAGTTCGCAAGATTCTCATCGTTTCATGAGATTTGCTGCAATGCGTTCCATGCAATCGCCAGATCGTCATGATCATAAAGTAGAGCTCAACAGTGGATACTTACTTCATCAATCTTGTCAGGAATGTCATCTCCTTTGACACGGACGTCAATGATTGCGTATTCAGCGAAACTGGTTGAAGGAAAAAAAGGTTACGGTGAGGACGGTGAACGGTGCACTTCCACGACATCGGAGATTGTACACTTACTTGATGCCCGATTGCACTTGAAGACTGCTGTATAGCTAATGTAAGGAGAAAGAAGGCTGTATTAGACATCAAAGCTTCTTGCTCTGTCGTCTCGCGCTGTTGGATACTCGAAAAGTTGAACGACCCAATCCAACATCAATTTTCAACCTCGGAACCATCATCTGACAAGCTCAATTACATTGCGATGATCATGAAAGCAGTAATACCACATGCATCGGCTGTCTCACAAGCTCAATCGAAACGGATGCAAATACATACCTGCTGCTCGAGTTCTTCATTGTCCACTCCTTCCTCCCATGCCATTTGCTAGAAATGAATAAATATGATCAATAGAAGTGCACCCATCACGTTCAACCGGCTCACTGCATCCACGCAAATGAGCTTTACTCTAACAAGATGTCAAACATTCAAATGTTTCACACCTTTGCAGCCCAAGCATGAGATTCGGCCCCTTCGGCAGCACGATTTGCATCTGCATTCATAGTCATTGTGTTTTCATCCCCATCGTGGCCAATAGGTTGTTCTTCCATCGTGTCTGCCTGTAAATCAGTTTGAGGAACCATATAAGCTCGATTTAACTTTAATGAAAAGCGAGAGATGCATCAATAGAGTGCTTTGTATACTGGCCATCATATTGAATTTACTGGCTAGGGTTCGTTCAGTAGTGATCAGCGGTTGCAAACTCTAATTTGATGTTTGGAAAATTGGTGTGAGACACAATCGCAGCAGTCGGAGGAGCACTAAGAACACGAAGATTATGCTTTGGACTTTCGAGACGAATATCCACATCATCATTTATTAATTTTTCGAGCGTGACAAAGGGCGCAAAACACGAGAATGGCATCTGCTTCAACATTTTATGGAATTTCTTTACCTCCCATATACACAAGACTTTGACCAAGTTGATCTCCATATTTTGCTTATTTTGCGGGAAATTCTTCTCCATTTTTACAAAATGATTTACCAACAAGTACCATCAGTACTTACTGACGAAAAGGAAGGTATACCACTAGAACTCGAAGTTCCACTAGTACCTGAAGCAGGGACATCTTCGAAATCTTCCAATTAGAGTTCATCAACTGGAAGCCTAGCTTATCCTTCCGCATCGATGGATCCTGCTTGAGCTGCCAGCAAGCGCGTCGGGATTGACTAATCGCAAGATTTGAGTACTCGGCCAGGTCTACAGCCAATTGTGTCATAACCATCGTAGTAACAGTGGCGGTCATAGCAGTACGAGAGCATGCTGAAGTAGTTGTAGCGTTTTGGTCTTCCAGTTTTGGTCTAATGTTCCAAAAGACCTGGATTTGTGTCAAAGGAGAATTAGATTCAAATAGATGATTGCCACAAGAACGGAAAAAGATGAATCCCTGGTAGAGAGAGATTTCTTCTTGGCTGTACCTAGTTTGGTCGATGGTTGTTTGTAGCCGGAATTCAAAGGTGGGTTTCGAACATCTAATCGGGACAACTTTCATCTTAATCTGATGCGAACGTAAAATTCTGTGTAAATTCAGGAAGCTACTCCTGATTTCGGATGTGCCTTTTGGGTAACTTTGGATTCATGAGGGTGTTTCTATTGAACGATAAATAGTCTTTGAAACGGACGCGACCTAGGTCCGCTGGGTCCGTGAGTCCGGCCCGTGTCCACGGGCCGGACTCGTGAAGAATGCGAGTGGACCGGACCGGACGCGGACTGGACCGGACTTCTTGCCAGGTCGAGTCCTCTGAGTCCGTGGACTTATATGAGTATAGATTGGGGGTCATAAACGGCCTAAAAATGAAGAAATCTACAAGTTTACAATGTTCTACGTCCTAAGTTTTGTGGAAAAATGTCTGCTGTTACCAACTAAAGAAATAAACACACGCATTTCCCCCTATAAACTCGTTTTTCGTAAAAGTCAAACACTGGATAGTACATCTTGAAAGCCTCTGCATCTCGCACGTCAAACCCTTTCCCGCCATCATTTGCCGTCAAACCACATCAACACAAACCTCTATATATAACCATACATACAAACGACAATTACAAATCTACCTATGCGAAGCAGTCTTAACAACGGCAGGACTCGCCGGCCTCTGCCCCGCAACACTTCCGCCTCCCGGCGACGCCAAATTCCCTTGCGAACCACCCAACAACCCACCCAAAAATCCACCAGCATTCATCAAATACTCTGTACCCCGTTGTAAAGCCTGTTGACCACCTTGAGCCAATTGATTCACACCAGCTAATCCTATTGCAGGGCTTCCAGCTGCTCCAGCCATTGTTGCAGCTGCGTTACTGAAGATTGATGAGGCAGATGTTGTGGATGTTTCGATGGAGGGGGCTGTTCGTTGCGCGACTCGTATGGCAGCGCGGTAGCGGGCGCTTGGTGATGAGGTGTCTTGAGATGTTGCTGTTGTAGCGGTGGGTTGGGGGATGAGTTTCGTTGGAGGAGTTACTAGTGGTGGTAGTGCCCCTACAAAAGCAGAAAAGAACAATTAGCGATCCCTCGCAACCAGAAGAGTTGGTTTCGGACAGCGCATTCAACGATGTGACTAACCACTTGATTCCATTTTCCCAGCACGAGCCAATCTAAACTGACTAGTACGAGACGCCAATGGTGCAGGAACAGGCAATAGCGTGAATCGAGGTGCTCCTTGCGCTAAAGCAATGACATTGTGCAATTCATGTAATGCAGGATTCGTCCTCCTATTAGAAGTATGTCACCAAACCACGTAGCACAAAAAATCCGGGAAAACATTCTCGACATACCCTTCCTGTGGTATAGCATTCAAATCCAACATCCCACCAAACATACTACGAGTCCTAACATAAAACCTCTCTACATTCCCACGTATGGGAGCATCCACAATTGCTAAATCAATCGGATCGATTTTACTCTTGATTCGTGATAATACGTCGTGAGATTTGCTTTCGAGTTCCAGACCTATGTGGCCTATACCCATATCTGATGATGATTGCTGTTGTGGTGGATTCCATGCTCCTTCAAAGACTTTATATAGGAAGCGTAGATCGAATAAGAGTTGGAAGGCGGATTTTTCAGAGACCGAGTCAGTCATGAGGACTGAGTTGCAAAAGTCTTCGTAGGATTGTAATGTTCGACGGGATAATTCGAGTAGAAAGTTTCGTAATACGGTCTACCATAAAAGGAGGTCGAAAATAGGACTTATCAGCGAAGAGCGGGCATCAGACAAAAAAACCCACTTTACAGTACTTCTATACCTTATCAAGTGAAAACCCAGCAACACGATTAATCTCCTTACAAGCACTCCATAGCCCATCCACCAGAAAGCTCGATGCGAATACAGGCAATGAAACCTTCTCTTCTATAGATTCGCCAGCATCATTCGTTCCTTGAATGGATACTGGTTCCCATACTTCAGTCAAGGCATTCACTTGTCTCCAATCAAATGACTTCAGAGATTTGGTTACGAGCGTTGCTATAGAATCTGCTGTTGAACGTGTCCATGGTCCATGGGATAGGATGTAGACTTCCATCATCATGCGATTTAGATGAGATAGTCTTGGATCTAAGTCGCGTAATGTTTTTTGTGTGAATAAAGATGGGAGTGTTGCTGTATTGCTACCGAGTGGCTATGGAAGTTCGGATCGAAAGCGAACGGAACGAAAAAAGCCGAACCATTTTATTCAGAACACGTACCAGGTTCAACAGCACCAAGCACCCGCAACGACAAAGTACTCCCACTGCGAAACGATGGTCTCCTCGTTCGAGACGTCCTCGACGAATTACCAGTAACACTACTAGATAATGGCTCCTCCAAGAAGAGAGCACTAGCAAAAGCTTTCGATCGAGTGACGATAGCTTGTGCAGCTCGCCCAATAAACAGTCCTTGATCCACTCGTAGCTCTACAGATTGGGAGTCAATTGCAATAACGTTGATCGACTTTCATAGAAGAACAAGAAAATTCACTGATGACAGCACACCTCTTTCAGATGGAGTATGTTCACCTCTGGGTCTTGTGGCATCAAGGAGTGCAATCAATCCATCTCTGTATCCTTGCAATGCCATTGAAGTACATTCCTGGTATGCTTTGGCTAATGATTTGGCATCACTAAAGTGGAAACAATATGTGAGCAAGAGAGGTCCTGAGAGTTGTCCATAATGTTCCACTCACATCTGCAAATCAAACGGATCTTCATCATCCTTAACACTACTACCAGCAAACAATGGTTCTATATCCGCTCTGACTTCCATAATCCCCTTCTCAAACTTTCCCGTTATTTCAGCAATCGATGGTGTCCATCCACGCAACACTCCATCAGATTCAGCAGCCCATATAAAACCTTCCATATTTCGATCCTGGGTACTCAATGATTCTAGTTTTGACGTATACAAAGTCGAAGGTTGCGTCGTTATGACTGTGAATGACGCTTCTATGAGATCTTTGGCTCGGCGAAAGAAGGTGGATCGTAACAGGCTAGTCCAGAATGAGAATCGGCTTTCTAATAGTTGGGATGTGATGGACGACCATGGTATTTGAGGCGCTGATTTCGCTGGTGATGATGGTGACGGGCTATGACCATTTTCAGCAGAGGGTACTATTTCAATAGATGAAATCTTGTCTAGTACAGATTGTCTCACTTGAGACAACCGTATACCGGATCCAACCCTTGTTTTTAGCACTTGATATGCACCATCGTTCACTTCCTTCATCAACCGTTCAATACAAGCAGCCACAAGTTTCCGTACTTCCGATTCAGGTACAATCGATGATGGGTTTGGGAGATGCAAATATGGTACAAATGATTGCACAGCAGGTGGTAAATGTCTAAATAATATATGTAGATTGGTCTTTTCGGAATATAGGCCGGACAGGGCAGAATGCTGGGCATCTAGAGTGGTCTTTGTCGTGGACGTCAATTTTCGTACACAAGTTTCTAGTAATGATAATCCTATTGGTGTTGAAGATGGAGTGCCAGGTGGCCGCGGAGGAGCCAGAAAGCATGTAGCTGTTTGCCGAAGGGTGACTTCAATAAGCGTGATTACTGTACATATTAGTGTTGCGGGTGTGGAGTCTGTTTTGGTATCAGTGAGGATTTCCATGGCTGCTATTCTACGCATATCTAGAAGCTTTTGTAGAGCTTCTGATGGAGGTGCTCCATCAAGTAGCATCATTGCACATAATGTGTTTGCCAACTCCTAGAAATGGAATGCTTTAGTACCACTGACACCTTTGGATCGTGAATGACAAGAATACGAACTTGAGGAGTCTGAGTCGTTTCTTTTAGATGTGCAGTAGCTCGTTGTACTATGGGAGCTCTAAAGTGGGAGACAGCCTCCCATTGTCTCTGCACCACTGGAAACGAAGTCTATGTAGAGACAGTTTTAGCTCATTTCGAGTCGAAGCAAAAAACAGGACTTCCAATTGAATTAAGCTCACCTGAGCCTTTGTGGATAGTGCATCTTTACTTGAATGAATGTTTTTGAAGATGAGTCTCGCCAGCATGTAGAGTTGACTAGCTCTCAGATATTGGTGGTGTTCCAGAGCGTGCCATATCTGTTCAGGAGTATCGACAAGCAGCTTGATTTGAGCAGCGATAGGATACAGCTGCTTCTTCCTATCTGCTAGTTCGTGAAAACAGAGAGAGCTTGTAAGCGAGACTGCCTCAAAAGTCCAAAGCCAGCGCACACGTTGTCGTTCGAATATCTGACCCAAAGACCAGCAAACAGCATACCATCGGCATCATTTGATAGTTTTGAAGATGATTTCTCGTTATTTATAGTCCTTTTTACATTCAGAGTATCACACCCGTCCTGTATGTCACTAATCAATGACTGAATGTTTGATGCGACGTCCTTCATGGTGGATATAGAGTCGGCAGCGATAATCAGGTCACGGTATCGTTCACTAGACATGGAAATAACGCGTTAGACGTCACTTTATAGATACAAACAAGAACAGCTTTACATACCCAACCATACTTCGTAACTCTTGCTTCTTGTTTTCGACATCTTTGCCCAGCTCAGCATGCATTGCACGTATTTCATGGATGGTATGCTTTCTAAAGAGATCATTTGCATCTCTATTTGCACTCTTCGTGGTCGCCATCGTGTTCAAGATTGAATGTCTTTGAATGGTGAGGCTTACAGTAGGAGACAACGTAAAGGAAGGAACTTGACGCGGTCAAACTCGAGTTTTGGATGTGTTTTCATAGATCTCGTATTCGATCTTAGACGTTTTCCTATTGATCAAGCCTAACATTGCCTCACGATTCCAACGTTTGTTCAAGAAATTTAATGGATCAGCGACAGTTGAGCTTGTTTCGCGTTTGCCGGTGCATTTCAGCTATAAAGAACAAAGAACGTCAAAAATGGCAGTCATTTCGTGCGAGATGGGTGTTCATTAGCACGACTCATAATTGCTCCAATCAGAGCATTATTAGCTCAACACCCACAACCACTTAATTTCGTTCATTAACAGCAACAGGAGGTGGACGGGGAGAGCAATTGGAAGCCAAGTTCTACTCAAGCCATGGCTTACTCCTCGCCGATTGCATTGCTCCTGCTCTTCCTCCATGCTCTGCATGTCGTAAAAGCCCAAACCGTTGCTGTCTCGGGAGGGCCTGCTGGAACTCTGCGTTTCAACGCCGTTATAGGAACAAAGAATCTAATCTTTTCTCATGGTGGACTATGGGGTATGTATCATCTACAGCATCTGCATCTTCTGCCCTCTCTTACTGCTCCACCAACCACATTGCAACTCCGCACATTTTTTGGGGTTGACCGTTATGGCTTACCACCTTGACCTCGAATAGATTCTGGAACCGCATTGACTGCAAACAGCTCGGTTGCTACTCTCCAAAAGGTCTCATTTGCTCTCAATGGAAACTCGATGGCTGTATCCACCATCCCTGATGACCAGGTTGGGTTTGGTGAAGCTTGTGCCTACGACGATGTAAACGACCTCGTACACTGCTATGGAGGTGCCGATCAAACTAGATCCATCATTCCCGGTGGCATGCAGGTCCAACGGACATACTTTCCCTCTACTGTAAGACCATAACTCCCTTGGTGGCTGTAACGCTAATCTGCTGTATGTTCCTTTGAACTATATCTAAACAAGCATTCCTCTTATAGAATACATGGAAACGATATACATTGACATCAAAACAAAACATCACTGCCGATATAGCCGGTCGATTCGCTCACTCGGCAACATACATGGATTTAACAGGCTTAATATACGTATTTGGAGGCCAGACGCTCTTTGGACTCAACACTACCAACAATCTCATGATTATTGATCCTCAGAGATTGAAATTGACCATTCCAGCCCCTCCATCAAACCCACCATCGGCACGTGCCTTCCATTGTGCAGTACCCGTAGGTTCGGATGAGATTCTAGTCTTATACGGAGCAGGGCCCGCAAACGCTATACAGGGAGATGCATGGCTGTATAATATCGCCTCGAACGTCTGGTCACAATTGACTACATCCGGTAGTCCATCACCTAGATCGATGCATGCTTGCACCTTTGTACCATCTAATACAGGTACACGACCACAAGTATTGATGTATGGTGGTAACACTGCCAGTGGAGGTGCAATTACCGGGGTTGCTGAACTGTGGTCTTTGGATGTTGGTACGTGGGTATGGACTCAAATCCCATCAACTGCTGCAACTATAACTCCAGGTGTACAATATGGGGCTGGATTTGCTACAATAGGAAACTATAGTGTGTTGGCTACTGCCGGAACAGGAGGCAGTGCCAGTGCCTTCTTTTTCAACACAAAGTCTGCCACATGGTCAACTACACCAGTAAATTTGACGGGATCGAGGAGCTCTGGTACCGTATTTACTGGTCCTAGTAGCTCGTCGTCCTTCCCAATAGTGCCCGTCGCAGCCGGTGCTGGTGGAGGTGTAGCACTCATAGTCGCTCTACTCGTAATCTGGATTTGTGTACGAACTCGTAACTCTAAATTCCCTAAACGAGTAGACGCAGATGCATTCAATGATGGAATGCCGTCATTCAAACGTGGCGGAAGATGGGGAATGTTCCGTAGATCAAAGACCGGGGACATTTCTCAAAGTCCTGTGGAACTACACTCACATGGCAGCAACAATAGTAAACTGATGGGTCTAGAACAACAGCAGCTTCTGGCCAACGGGCGTAAACTACCTTTACTACCAGTTGCTCCTAGCCCAATACCTGGATCGCCGCCACCAGGATATAAAGACTACAAAGACTTACGAAATGGCAACACTCCCAGCCCAATGCCTCAACGAACAAACAGCAACACTAGTAATAATAGTGGTAGCCCGGCTCCAGCTCACCGATCCAATCAAGGTGGTAGTGTTAGTAGCAGAACAGTATCGCCACCACCACCTCGAGTATCATCACAACAATTTGAGGGTAATGCGTTAAATCTATCACAGTTTAATAACTCGTTACCTGGAGTGAACCTGAACTCTCCAACGTCTGCTGCTGGTGGCATGGATAATATGAATAATATGCATCATATGAATGGTCAGAGCCAGATGAATGCTCAGCTGAATGGCATGACGAACAACAACATGTATAATATGAATGGTGGTATGAACGGCATGAACAATATGGGTAACAAGTCGCGAGCATCACCTATATCGCCGTCATCATCCGGACTACCAGTAACAGCCCCACTAGCAGCTTTAACTAGCACAAGTATAGCTCTCCCACCACCAACACAACTATTACCACCGCTTCCGTCATCATCGCCGTCACCACGCACGCCACCTCCATCACAGGCACTACCACCCATACCAACCACATCGTATCTAGATAACGACTACTCTTCTGCGCCTGCAGAACCAATAATACAAGCGCCCACTCATATCGTAGAACAAGACGACGCCTTCACAATACCACTTACACAACCATTACCACCACTCCCATCCCAGCACCGTGTCCAATTCGATCCTCGACCTGCACAAGTATACACACCCGCCGTCTCAACCGCTCGAGACTCGGGAGCGACATGGAGTACCGCACAAGAGGAATCGCAGTACGAATATGGGACTATAAGTAGCACGACGTCTGGATCGCCTGTTGTTACTCAGCAGCAACACGTGTATACGCAGCCGATAATTCCTGTGCAACAGCAGCAGGTGTATACCGCACAGCCGATTCAGCAGCAACAACAGCAAGTGGCAGAGCCTGTTGATCAAGTAATTGTAGTGACGGAATTTGATGCTTCCCAGGATGATGAGTTGACGTTACGAAACGGAGATGTGATTACGGTCTGGAAGAGGTTTAATGATGGTTGGGGAATGGGAACCAAAGCTACTGGTGAAGTTGGAGTGTTTGTAAGTTGCAGTTTCCATCTGAAATCTTTTTTTTTTTTGCCTGGCTTTTCTGACTCCTCCTTTTTGGCTTAGCCGTTAGCATTAACTCAACCCGTTGCTTAAACTGCCGAAACTGCTGGGTCTCGATATCAACCTCATAAAGTAGGGAATGCATAATGTATAGTTTGTGAGAAGGACAGAGAGGGTGTATGAACTTTAAGATGTTACAAGGGCCGGTTCCCCCACTTTTTTTAATATATGAATCCAATTTAGCCTCTTACACATTGCTATCTATGTTGGCTTCCTTGAAAGTTGAGCACATAACACTAAATGTTGAAAACTAAACAGAGTGCTCGAATACGTGATCGCTCGAGTGGCCAAATATTCTTGTTTTTTATAATACAATACAACATAAATGCTAATCTAACTAATGAAACCAACGCTCTGTATAAAATATGTTATATGGGCTAGCGAGGTATTTGAGACCAAGTGCCCAATATTACTTCTACGCGACGTCCATGACATATGCAAACTATAAATTACGTTCCACTTTTAAACCACTTGAACGACAAGAATCTGGAATAACGTTTCGGTTCACCAGGTGACTTGACAGGATCCATGTGTTGAGCTTTGCCTCGAGGATGGAGGTTGAGTATCCGTTTCAAGAAAGGTGGTCGTGATGTAGGCGGTACTGGTGATGGTGGTGTGTTAGTAGCTTTTTTGCGATCCTTTACAAAATACCATGCTACAGCCGTTGCAGACGGTTTGGGTTCGTCGGCAAGGGTTTTGCGCCCGCTACGACCTTTTAATCTAGGGAGCCAGCCGAGTCGATTCCAAAGTTTCTTGCCACCTCCATCTTTACAAGATGCGGCGACATACGTAGTCGATTCGATGGATTCGAGTTTCTCAGTGGATCCGGCTGTTGAGGATATGGTGGTAATAGAGGATGCTACGGATGCTCCAGCTGAAACTTTACGTGATATCAACTCCTTTCGAATAGCTAGAGATATTGGAGATACCGGTGCTGATACAGGTGATATTTCCACTTCAGGCAACGAGACCATAATAATCGGAGTATAGGATGAAACGGACATAAGACTCTTATCGTCATCAATTGATGTGTCGGCATGGACCGCGTCTACTAGTGCTATTCCCGAGAAATAAGATTCGACTTCTGGTAGTGATGGGTGTGATGATTCGGCAGATGGTGTTGTAGAGACGGGTGTGACGGGTGCTACATCTAGTGGGCGGGTTGTTGTAGAGCCAACTACAATCCCACTACGTGTTGCTGAAGCTGAAGATTCAGCAGATGATACAGCAGCAGTAGTAGTACTAGTGGTATCTAATGGAGGAGGAGACATAGTCGTTGGCCCACCAAGCCAGGGATGCAATAGGAGTTCGTATGCGGAAGCACGGAAGTAGGGATCCTTGACAAAACAAGCCTCCAAAAAGTCTATCAAAGACTATGAAATATGAAAGTTAGATAGATGCGCTGCCAGGGAGATTAACTACAGCAACACTTACAGGAGACAGTCCAGCAGGTAATGGTACTGCCTCATCTAGGGTTGAAAAACATGGATACGTTTGGTATGTATTGACCAAACAACTTTAGAATAGCGTGCAAAACTGACCTCTAATGGTTCTCCTAGCCCCACGGCGAATATTGAATCCAGCGTATGGTGTGGTACCGGTCACCATTTCGAGGATTGTGTGCCCCAACGACCAGACATCACTGGCACATTCGCCTCCTTTGCCACTGAATATTTCGGGGGCGACATATCCTAGGGT